CTCATCAGTTTCTATGCACCCCCCCCATCCTCATCCGTTTCTATGCACAACAACCCCCTCTAATTCTGCACACCATCCCTCGTTCACCCTCCCCTTTTCTCTCTCTCTCTCTCTCTCTCTCCAGCGCTCACGAAACGAAGCCAAGACTCTTCATCTAGTAGGAGGCAGAAGGCTTTGAAGAGATCAAAGCCAAGGCCGCAAGCAGTTGTGCGCCCTGGGAATACGCCGCAGCTCTCTGCTCCACAGCCCCCTTTCTCCAGCGTCATGTCGGATTGCAGCTGGATTGCATATTGCCAGTTTTCTTAATGCTCTCGGTTTCGACTTTGACATCACTGATCCCCCCAACACACACGCACACCTTCGACACAAACGAGTAAGAACGGAAGACAGAAAAAAAGACAAAAACAAGGGAGCGAAAAAGAGAAATCAAAGAGAGCGGGGTTAAAATGAAAAAGCTGGAAAAGAAAGGAGTAAAAAAGGAGGAGAGGGAGCAGAAGAGATTGACAGGGTGATTTTTATTTTCACAACTCCATAATTGGCCAGTTCAAAGGCGGATGAAAAAAGGAAGCATTTGTTTTCAATTCTGCGGCAGATATGAAAGGAGCGACAAACTTTTATGAGTTTCCCCAAAATTAAAGACAGGCTCTTTTCACATTCAAAGAACAGGGTGTTTTTTATAACCAAGACCACACAAAAAGAGCTGATACCAAAGCCCTCCCCTCTCGTCCGCTGCAAACACGAGTTGGCTGACTGACTATGAGAAATAGAAAGAGTCGGAGAAATCGGAGGCAGAGGGATGGTTTGATGTGCAACACAAAGAGAGGGAGTGAGCGCATGTGAGAAAGGGGCCGCATCTATACATCCATTAAACGCTAATAAAGCCTGGTGGCAAGCCATCTTTTGTACTGTAACTCAGAGAAACCCCTTACCAAACTCCTACACCAGGGAGCATGAATATTTCAGTGGTGTCTGATCCACGGAGCATGTGAAGCTCCTTTACCCCCACACACACAAACACAAACAAAAAAAAAAAAATGAGCTTCAGAAAAATATGAAAAAGTGAACCTAGTGGCACAGAGCCTCTATTGATCAGTACAAAGCAGTGCAAATGAAGTTCAGAGATGCATGCATGCATGCAAACAATGCAGTTTCGATCACTGTCACTGACGGATTTCTCTTGAGATGACGACTGTTTGATGAGACAGTCGTGTTTTTACATGCCGCTGCAGAGCAAAAACTACCAATACTACGCAATCTCCAACAGTTATATAACTAGCGTGATTTGATAGAAGAGGGTTACTGACACGCATCGAATGTCACTTCTCAAACAAACAATTGTAAAATGAGAAAAACAAGGGGATTTTTTGGTCATCCGAGACTAAACGAGTTTCAAATGACACTGCGAATGAGAATACGCAAAATGAAGCAACATACATTACATGAAAAGGAGTAAAAAAACATCAATAAATAAGTGCAAAAGAAAAACAACCAAGACTGGGACAAGAGCATCAGCTACTGTTGTCAAAATAAAGCAGGGCTTAAAGTGGCCGCTGGAGGGTGATGGAGGTCACAGCTGGGCCTGGAGACATAACATGCAGGAAAAGTGATGACAACTGTGGCGCAAAGACAAAACACAACGGTGCACTTCACTTGCATGTGCCCTCAGGATCATCAACAGGTGTTACCGCTGGTTTGCATAATAGCTGTGCATTAAGAGGTCAAGAAATAACGCTCATTGTTCTAGCCTGTTCAAAGCCTGTCCAAAAATAACAACAATAATTTGTAGCATATATATTGTTTGTCTAATAAACCTGACATCGCATATAACGAATATTGTTGGTAAATCACATCTGATAAATGCATAAAAGACAGGAGATTTAGGCAAATGGGACTAGCTAGCAGAGCTAAGATAAATAAACATAACTGCACTACTTGAATACACGCAAAAGCTATTTGTTTGTGGAGTCTCCTACTATAAAGACGTTTCAATTAACAAATTTTAGTGGGTCGTTTGACAGTAACATTTCAGGGGGTGAAATGCCCCATGGAAGCAAACCTTTCAAAAATCACTTAACACTGCCAGCCTTTTTGCTTTGTACATCTGACACATGGATTCAATATGGCTGTGGTAACCAGCCGATGTAAACACAGTATCAATGGCCCTCTGTTCAAAAACCCTGGGTCTGTACCAGTGCACTTCAAAGGGCCTGTGGGCTGCCGAAATCTGCAAGGTCTAGGCCACGCTGGTGTTCAGACCTGCTCAGCAGATGATATGATTACTTGTTTGCCCCTTATCACCCATGTGTGGGGGCGGTGCATCAAAAGACGATATGATACGTGTTTAAAGAGCGACAGAGAGGTATATGGGTGAGTTTAGAAATGCAGATTTTGAAGTGAATAACAATAATACTGAAAACTACTAAAACGCAATAAAAATATGCTACTTATATATTGTTACGAAAACCACACACAAGGGCTGCTGGGAATTGTAGTTTCTTTGAATGGTGCAGAAAGGGACAGACCGAGAGTTGAAGATCCAGCTGTGTGAAATCTCTTTAGGTAAAGCCAGGGTTTGGGGGAGGGTTTGTGATTCCACGGCATGTCCACGCTGAGAGACCCGTCACATCCCACATCAAAGCAGGCCGAGTGTGAGTGTGTATCTTGGGTCGGTTCTTCCCAAGCTCCACTGCCAGAAGCCAATCAGGATGGGGGAGGAAAACAGCACAAGAACTGAAGCTGCTCCACCAGCAGCTCCAGCAAATGTATTACAGTAGAGGTCCATCCATATGGAGAGCAAACTAACCATCAAAACAGCCTTTACGATAACATGTCTATTTAAATGATGAATTAACCCACTTTCCGTGCATTTAATCATTTTTAACATTTTCCATAAGTCATTTTCTTTTTTTTTCTCAAATAGTTTTTTAACTGCTCTTCTCTGAGAACTGAGAATATGCATATGAGAAACAAAAATTTGAAATAAAACAAATGATTTTTGCAATGTTTCCCGATGATACATTTTGTATTCTTTGATGAGTAAGTCAAATCTGCTGATAACAACTTCACAAACAAATATATTAAATCTATGCTAAAACCAAAAATTGCAGTACACAATTCACTAGTTGGGTTGTCATTGAAAGCGCCATCTATTGTACCTGGGTAAATTTGGTTTTCATTTAACTAGAACAAATATTTGTTTACTTTTCATGTGAGTATACCACTCATTTCATTTTTTGATATTTATTTCGTAACACGTTAGGTGTGAAAAAGCCTTCAAATCAGCACATTCGGAAAAAATCTTAAACTAATTTAGGGGTCACAGGACAAACATCTCAAACACTTTTCCTGAGATGAAATTTTGTGCTTGAACTTTAAATAATCCAATTTAAGAAGAAGAAATGAAAGAGAGGGGATGGGGAACAGATTATACAATTCAATGAAATCCAGGACCCCATTACCCCATTCTTCTCTCCAACTGATTAAAAGGGGCAGAGATAAGTGGAACTACATGAAATGTCCCAGCGCGAGGGAAAGCATTTCAAAAAGAGGAAATGCCTAGGTTGTCTTAATTCCCAATTCGCCATTTCATACGAATGTTAAAATATTACAACTTCAAAGCTACAGGCACCAGAGACAATGCAGCCCCAGTGTTTACCTGGAAACATTATCTGCTGACCCCAAGTTATTCATCTCAAAGGAGCCCTGGATGCCATTTCCAGATGTCGTCCATCAGATTAGAGCAACATGTAAAGCTTTCATGGATCACTAAGCACAATGATGCCAATATCCAATATACAGAACACTGTACCCATGCGGCTGGTGCTTCACCAGGTAGCAACACCCCCCAAAAATAATCTGCTGACCACCACAAAATTGCCTGCTTCATGACTGAGTGGGAGTTCAGGCACTGGAATGTCATAGCCAATGGAAATCAATCCAAACTTCAGGGGAATGGAGGGGGAGGAAGGGGGGAAAAGAAGATGCCTTTGATCTAGCTGAAAACTGATCCCAGACCTTGGAGATACTGTGTCCGAATATTTGAGCCACCGCAAAGGAGAGAGAGAGACAACAGGCGGAGGGGGTTGAGGAAATGGATCTGGCATTATTGGGATTTTATTGCACACCAAGTGAAAAAAGGCAAAATTTGGGTAAGTTGCAAATGATTCTGCAACACCTCTGCAAAAATCTTTGCATCAGTATTAAAAAAAATCTGGTTTTTGTACCTCCCAAGCGAAGGCTTTCAATCACAAAGGATTCCCACAGATGTACATTGCTGACCCAATTGCCAACAAACTGCTAAACCACATCTTGTTGTGTAACAATGCATACGCTTAAGTAAAACTGCTTAAAAAGAACTAAACAATAAAAACGTTAAAGTCAGAACCATTTACCCCAAAAGCTTAGAGCAACTACAGGTCAACTGCAGCATCATCTTCTGTTTGGTGTCCGTCGCCACATCGGCGAAAACCGAACTATAATCGCACAGCCGCAGACTGATAAAGGAGCTGAATTCAAAGCTGTGCAAACAATGGATGAGATGAGCTCAGCGGAGAAAGCCCTGTCTCTCATCGGACTCACAGACTGCCTGCAGCGGCCATCTCTTCCAGGCACCAGTCAACTGCCAAACAGGGAGTCTTAACCACACAAAAACTACTAAACAGGATTAGGGTGGACAGCTGCTAGCGTATCCACCATCTTTCTTTTTTTTTACTCCCCCCTCCTTCCATCAGTGGTTGTTTTATATAATAATCGAGATGGCAAACGTCTGTAACTTCTATACATTTATGCATAAGTGTACAATTTTTTAATCTGCCACACTAAAAAGTATAGACAGTACGAGCAGATATGGGTCACAGCATTAGACACAGACACGCTGCCAATCAGAAACTAACATCATAACCCTGAGCTGCACGCTATGACGAGGGAAGATAAAATAAAGTGAAAAATGTCAATGTTGGACAGCGAGGGCTCGGGAGCGAACAGCACTGGATAACACTCACCATTCTGGGAATGGGAGGCGAGAGAGAGCCGTTGTTCATGTAGGATTCATTGTTCATATTGGTCATCATGATGTATCCTGGGTAACTGGGGTACGGGTGGCCTTTGCTGTACATGTCTTGATGCTTGCCTGTTAGAGAATAAAATAAAGCAGCTTGAATTAATAAGATTTCCCATATTTTCTCAATTAAATGCAATGCAGTTTAAATGTGAAATTTGTTAACAAATATTTGACGTGGTCCAGTCACTAAACTAAAGTATGCATGACTCTTGAATCATTCAGTGCCAATAAAATAAATCAAAATGAACTTCCTGACCAAATGTCACATTTTTAAAAATGCAAGAAATGCAAGCTAAACAGGAAACCAAGCAGTTCCTAATGGTATCTAAAACGGGGGAGCCGTTTTGAGGCCAGTGAAGTGTTTGGCTGAATATTTGCATCCTAATTCACAGCAAGCAGAGAACAAAGGGGAAAAGACAATCAAGTCACTTCACTGTGAACCCAGCGCGGCGTAAAAAAGACCCGGGTGTAAACAGAGATCAAATGAACTCCGGGCCATCACAGCAACATGCTGCTCTTGACAATAGCGTCTCAGACGGTGTGTTTGGAGGCCAGCGTGTCAGAGGAAGATGGGGCACTTCCCTGGCACGTGTCATTACGTGTCGACACCAAACAGACTGTGGGCTGAGAAATTCCCTTCACAAAGCCTTCAGAATCAATTAATTAAAACAACAAATCTAAATAATTACAGGCATATGTAGAAAAAAACTAAATCTGTTATGCATTAGAACTGTAATACATTTTTAAAAGAAAATATATATATAAATAAATGGATTTCTTTGCAAGTGTATGTTTTAACATAAGTGAATGAAAATGTTATGATTTTGTAAAGCATGCTGTTAAGAAAAAAAAAACGAAGTTACACCAAATCAAGGATTTAATAATATTACACATTTTTTCCCAAGCCATATGACTTACCATCATCCAGATGGTCCATGTGCTTCTCATGATAAGAGTCTGGTGTTATTTGGGACAGTCTAGCTGCCTGTTCAAAAATGTAGGAGAGAGATATTAACAACTTAATTTCTAACGTGCAATGTTATTGCTTTTCGTTTTTTTTTTAATTGTTCAATCCTAAAACCAAAGCTGACAAAATAGCGTATGTTTTATCATATTTTTAGGATAAGACATCCATAAGGAGAAGATAACTTGCATTTTTTTATACATTGATTAACTCAGTCATTTTCTTTCTGCTGTGGAGACCGACCACAAATGCGGTATCTTGAGGAATGAAAAAGAAAGGCTTCGCTACTATTCTCGTTCACTCTCGTTATGAATCAGAAGTGCCGGGAAATAAACTCCATTTGGAGTTCAGCTCCCTCTGGGTGCCTTCCAGCAGAGTGAGGGATCTGTACTCCTTTCCCAATTAACATTCAGCCCATCAGTTTGTTCTTTCTCATGTCAAGCTGTAACCCTGCATGCTGTTGATGCCAGGAGGAAATATATTTCATTAATAAAGCAAAGCATCTTATTATTCTTTAGTTCAATTTACTTGATGCACATGACCAAGTAGAAATGGAGAAAAGCACATGATCAGAGAAACACAAAAAATAAAGTCAAACAAATTTACACCAGCACACAAATCTGACAACTGCTTCACAAATTTCAGATGGATATAGACTTCCATTTTGTTTTATTGAAATAATGGTTTACTTTTCTTTTGTGTGAAATTGAAAATATGAAATTTAGCCTATATAATAACTGCTGGGTGTGCTGATTTTTAATACATATTAAAAATTAATATCAATAAATTAATTTTTTTTTAAAGCATGTTGCAGTTTTGTGGTTAACTGTAAAAGAAATCACAACAAACCAATCAGAGGCATAATAAGCGGTTTCAGAAATATTAAAATATGTGCATACTGCACCCATTATCTGGCAGACTTTAATAAACAATTATTAAAAATGTCAAAAATTACAATAATAATAACAACAACAACAAAATGTAACGTTATTAGTAGTAGGGGTGCAGCATTGCACTATTATTTTTACATTCTTTTTAATAACTGTTTAACATGAATTGTCGAATAAACTAAATAAATATAATCTTACACAAATTTCAAATAAAATTCATTATAAAAGCTGCTGTTTTGTTTGTGATGATCAGTAAAAAACAAAAATATTGATCAACAGTGCCTTCTTTGACAATTAAATAACGACTGTTTTTTTTTTAAACAAACAAAAAATGTTAATAACTGGTTGAATAAATAAAAATCCTGAGATCATCGTGTCCCTTTCAGTCCTTTTTTCTCGCTTAAATAAGGACTGTGGGTTAAAATGAGTTTGTTGACTTTAACACGTGTAGCTCTGCCATTTAAACCACACACACACACACACACACACACACACACAGAACTGAGGTTAAAATATCAACACGACTCTTCATTCTGAAAACAAATCCCAACTTCCCAACAACTGGACACATGAAGTTTGACGGAGGACCTTCACGTGCGTTTGAGGCGTACTCACGTCGTGATTGTTACTGTTGGGGCTGATTTCTGTCTCGTTGACCAGAGATGACTTGATCTCTGCTAAGTCTCCCTCCTCCTCAGAGTGGATGATCTCCGCGAAGATCTGCTCCTTCTGCGGGTCTCCCTCGTCTTTGAACGGGATCATTTCATCGGTGGCACAGAGCTCCGGATCCCCGCCGCCTCCTCCGCCTGACAACTGCGGCATTTCTCGGGTGATTGAAAGTCCTCCTCACCCTACAAACGCCCGGAAAGCGAAGACGTTAGACAGAAACCCCCCTGTATAATTTCAGCCGGTGCACTCCAAACACTCTTGCTACGGCAACACTCGAGAATCCAGAGGGGAAACGCAATGTAGACGCTGGGTGTTTTAAAAAGTTAAAGTACGACTCCTGCGGTGTTCTTAAAGGCAAACGTTAGAAGTGTAAGTTGAACGTAGGACAGTTCTGACTGTTCAAAAAAAAAAAAAGTGCTGGAGTTCAGATGCTGTGTGTCATTCCCGTTTGCTTTCTTGGGTAAAAAGGTGTCCCTCTTCAGAAATGCGCTCAGCAGAGACTGAGAGTAATGTTGGGCTGGAGAGAGAGTAGTGCTGTACTCCTCCCCCTGATCTCTGACTGACAGTAGAGATGAAAGAGAAGCCGCCGCTTTGATTGACACCTAGCGCACGTGCATTGACTGACACTCCTGAGGAAAGTAAAGGGGGATTTTATACATTGCTTCCAACAAATGGACAGAGAGCGCAAAATGTGGAGGTAGGAGACACCAGTGCTGTTCTCCGATTGATTTTGGGACTGTTGGAAACGAAAACAGTGTCGTAACACCGTCAGTTAGTCACCAATTAGAAATGAGCTTCAGGAGTGAAATCACTATCATGCATTATCTGTTTAAAATATAGGAATTACAGGACACATCTGAAGTGATTTGGGAACATATTAATAAATGTTGAATAACAAAACTGGCTTCATCTGAATCAGCAGGCTCTTTTGTTAAATTTGACATATAATGTTCAGTCAAGCTGAATTTGAAATATCATGACTGACCAGATTCGGGAGGGTTGAAACTGTTCCCAATGTACTTCCAATGGAACCACAAATATTGCACAAAATTGTATAGGCCTCTTATGATTTTAGATACGTTTTATGTGTTTATATTTTTGTTTGCACGCTTGCTTCTTTGAATTGATTAAAATGAAAGTTTGGAATGGTGATGGTGGGTGGAACAATTATAATATAATATAATATATGATTGTTAATAATTATTTTTGAACTACTACATTTGATTACCACTTAAAAATCAAAATGTACATTGCTCTTTTTTTCTATTAGTGTTACCAGTACTAAATAGTGAAAATGAACAGTAGAAAAATAGCTGACAAATATTACTCTATAAAATTTGAGGCACACTTTTTAAACGATCATAATAAATAATAATTTGAATAAAGAAACATAAATCAAAAACAGCAACAACAAAAAAGACGAATATTAAAATGCCAATGTGAACAGAAATAAAACCTACTACGAGCGTAATCATTGATCTGCATTACATTGCAAAGGGTGACATCAAAGATGCCAAATGTAAATGCATGAATAGTATTTAATGCAGCTGTATAATGGAAGATGAGATTCCGTTTGAAAAGACCTAGGAAGTTGTTTTCATCTCAGTCATCTTATTAGTCCATTTTTTTCATGCATATTGCTCGATTTAATGCATACTTGATGTTGACCTGAATGCTTCTTTTGTTCTCAAGGTAATCTAAATTGAAATGTTTAATGTAATTAAGCTTATTTATAAAACATACACGGTTTAATCACCCAGGGTTTGATATACCACGTTTTTGTATAGCTTATGTCATTTCACTTGATCTTAGAAGTCACATTTAAACTCGAAAATATTTTAAATACATTACGAACTATTTCTATTGCATATGAGTAACCTTTAGATAACGTTCAAATAAAGAAATACAAATTAAGCATATTGCATAAATAAAGCACATTGCCCTGAAATTTGACGAGGCATATTTTATTATCAGCAGTATTTAATTGAAAACATAAAAACACAAGGTTTAATTGAGCAATTTAGTCAAATTATCACATTAACTAGATTCTATGAAATTCTTACGCATAAATGTAAGCAGCTACAAAATCTGCTCGAACGATTCAAATATACAAAACCAGATAAATTAAAGGAGACCTCCCTCAATGTATCAGAAAACAAGAAGGGGGGAGAAAAACATTGGGAAGTGTTTCTGCGGCTTGCGTGAGAATAAGTTTGGAGTAGGAGGCAGATCTTTATAAAACAGGTGGAGGTGGGGTCAGTGGGCGGAGCCGTGGCTGCCTTTGATCTGGCGGCGGCGGCCTCTTTCATCCCCTTCCTTTGTATGACCATATATGGCGTGAGGCTGGAGACGGGCCAACATTTCCACGCGCGCCTTCATCCCAGCTGAGAGGGAAAGCGACGGTTCTCTTCCGGGTAAAGGAGAAACAGAGAGAAAGATCAAAGGCTTTGGATTTGGAAGCCGAATGTGGATTCAAAAGAGAGAGAGAGGGAGAGAGAAAGAGAGAGACGGGCCTGGCCACATTCCAGAGTGTAGCGGAAAACTGAGCCTTAAACACACACACACACACACACACACACACACACTCGCACATTCACTCACTGAGACTGGCTCCTGGGATAACAATCGAACCCTTCAGGTTTAAAATTAAATGTATGCATATCAGGACAGATGTGTTGTTATTGTAAATTTTAATGCATGGTTATTTAAATGTAAGGCTCCATATAAAGTACATCAATGCATGCCACAGTTCTGAGCCAGCAAGATCAAAACATTTATTATTTTAAAATAACAGATTCTGGACAATTATTGAATGTGTCTGCACTGAAAATAATTTTTATTGTATTTAAATAAATAACTATTGTTTTTGTAGCAGAAAATAAAATGACTAATTCATTTTTAAAGATATTGGAAGCTAGAATTAGTACTGGCAAATATACAGGTTGATTATAAGCACATATACCGATAAAATGTATACTATGAATGCACTGCTGCTTTGAATTAAAATAAATAAATACATACATACACATAACATAACTGTGAATAGAGAATATTAAATACATCAAGGCTGCCAGAAAGATCAAAACATGCATTTTTGAACTGTGCATATTTAAAAACTAAAAATTAACACAATTTTTAATTTTAAATCCATAAATCATTTATGAATTTAACAGTAAAAATGTGGGCCTAATCAAATGTGGGCATACAGAAACAAAATGCTGTAATTCTGTCATCAATACAGGCAAATCACAGACTTGAAATGCACACATACTTATCAAATGTATATCTTGAATGCATTATAAGTTACGTTAAATAAGTATCTGGCTAATGAATACATGTTTATGAACAGTGATAACAGCAATATTTTAAATGCAAGTTTTAATACAATTTAGTCAAGTGTCTTTGTAGAGGAATCCAGCTCTGTTTCTCTCAAAACAGTATATTACTGCCAATAATCAGAATAGAAGTCCAATTCACCGTATTTCCTAACATGAAAGATCTGACCTGATCATAAGAACAAGAACGTACAACTACCCGCATTTCAACGAGACTTCAAAGGCAAACGTACACAGCTTATACATCATTTAAGAGCCGGGCATTGCGTCATCGCTGGACATTAGACTGTCAGAAATCATAATTTGACATAAACATCTACACTATGTACGCTGGTCGTTGAAGGCACAGCTCTTGCCTAGTATTTTTCTTTTACAGTAAGTAGGCACAATAATTGCCTTTTTTTCTTCAAAAAAAAAAGAGAAATATCGTGAAAGAGAAGATCATTTGCATTTCTGTGTTAATGAGTTTGCAGAAGTGACCCCTCTGGATCAAACATGAAAAGGAAAGTGTCCTGCTGTGTCCTGACCTGAATTTAGTTGTCTCTCACTCTTCTACTGCATATTGAATGTTATATAACCTTGAAGGACCAGGAATGTATCCATAACACAGCATAATTTATCAGAGCTCTGCTAATCTAGAGGAGAATTTGACTGTTGGCTTCAGAAGGGAAATTCAGAAAAGATTGCCCTCTTGCTGTGACGCTCATGCATGCATTGCTATTGATCGGGAGCTGTGGATTAATAATTTGGTTCATCTGTAATCTGAGGATGGGAATGACCTATAAAGTGGAAGAAAAATTCACTGATTTGCCCTTTAAATGATAAATGCTATTTCAATATGATATTGACTCTAGGTGATTAAAAAAAAGTGCATGAAAACGATACATGTACTTGTTATCTTAAAATTACTGAATTCTAATATAAAAATGGCATTCACAACCCATTTTACTTTTAGTAAACTGATATATTTTGAAGTAATTCCATAGTATATCTTATTAGAAAAATGTGAGGTGGAATGTGATTTCATCCATCAGAAATGGACTGGATAATGAAAAATCATGAAAAATCTGCAGGCTGTTTCTCCCTTGACAGCCTTTATTGTATATCATATAAAAATTAAACATTTTTTTGCAAGCAACATTTAAATCACATATACAACTGGTAATGTTTTTTTGGTGTGTCATCAGTCAATTTGCCTTATCATGATGTCATCTGTGGCTCAGATGGCTGAAAAATAAAATGTTTGTGATTCTGAGTGATAGACATGATAGCAGGATGCAAGTCGAGGACTTCAAGGGCGGCTCCACGCAGGTATTATTGATATTCTTCCGTCAGTGGTAGAACAAGTTATTATTCTGATTAAAGATCAGACAAACATTTTATTTTTGGAACAACGTGCACCGATGATGAATCATTGAAAATAAAACCAGGAACATGTATTAAAGAAATAGTTCACCCAAAAATTAAAATTTGCAAAAATGTACTAACCCTCAGGCCACCCAAGATGTATAGAGTTTGTTTCTTCATCAGAACAGATTTGGAGAAATGTAGCATTACATCACTTGTTCACCAATGGATCCTCTGCAGTGAATGGGTGCCGTCAGAATGAGAGTCCAAACAGCTGATAAAAACACCACAATAATCCGCAAGTAATCCACACAACTCCAGTTCATCAGTTAACATCTTAAGTGAAAATCTGCATGTTTGTAAGAGACAAATCCATCACTAAGACATTTTAAACTTGAAACCGCTGCTTCCTGTTAAGATACTCTATACATGATGCTTTCGCCTGAGAAAAATCACCTTGTCTGAATCAGAAGAGAAAAATGCACAGATCAAGCACCGTTTACAAGCAAAAACAGCTTTTATATATGTCTGTGGATTTTGATGTGAGTGGACAAAGGGAGATGGACTTTTTCAATGGAGGAAGCGTTATTATGAATTATTTTGGCCAGAAGTGATAGTTTAAAGTTAAAACACCTTAATGATGGATTTGTTTCTTACAAACATGCCGTTTTTTACTTCACAAGATGTTAATTGATGGACTGGATGTAGTTGTGTGGGTTACTTGTGGATTATTGTGATGTTTTTATCAGCTGTTTGGACTCTCATTCTGACGGCACCCATTCACTGCAGAGGATCCATTGGTGAACAAGTGATGTAATGTTAAATTTCTCCAAATCTGTTCCGATGAAAAAACACACTCATCTACATCTTGGATGGCCTGAGGGTGAGTACATTTACAGCAAATATAAATTTTTGGGTGAATTATTCCTTTAAGTACCTGTTCCTGGTCTTATTTTGAATGCAAAAAATTGCATTTTGAAATTTTGTTTTTTAAAAGATTAAAAAGAGCGCAATTAGCTTAATACGGAACCATGATTTCAAGAATGACAGAGACAATTACAGTACAATACAGAGGAAACCTCACCCTCTGCTCTCCATGATAAAGCTGGCAGATGATCCAGCAGTTCTTCCACCTGCTTCAGTTCTGAGAACCCCCCGAATCGAAAATTATAGCTGTGAAGCTCCCAGTCACCGCCTAATAAACGACAAGAAACAAACATCACATTAAGATGAAAAGAGCATACAATTAAAGTTGAGAGGGGGAAAAGAAAGCCATTTATCAGTCA